TGATTAGTTGCGCTTCTTTGGAGAAAGGCCTATTCAAGCCCTTTGCCGGTGTTTAACTCGGGGTGTTTGCCTTTTGTTGTTCAGTGGCAGGAGATCGTCACATATTGTGGATTCAAGATCCTTGTCCAAACCCAGCTGGTGTGGCTCAATGGAGGGAGTGTTGGCTGTGGACCAAAGGGTCCTGGGTTCGATTTTGGTCAAGAGCACGTCGTACCTCGGTTTCAGGCTCCTCCCTGGCCCGGCCCTGGTCGGGGTGCGCGCAGGAGGCAACCGATGGATGTGCTTCTCTCACATCGATGTTTCTGTCGTTCCTTCTGTCTTCCACGCTCCCTAAAAATCCATGGAAAAATATCCTCAGCTGAGGATTAACAACCTCAACAAAAAAGATCCCAGAACTGGGATGTGAAGCCACTCCGGACGCGGCGCCCTCCCAGGGCTCAGGGACGGCTGTGGCCGGAGAAGGGGGGCTGACTCACGCCTTCTTGGCTTGCTCACTCTTTCTCGCTGCCCTGGGACCACCATGCTTGTGGGGCGGGTTGGGGGGGTGTCGTTGGCTGGCTGCAGGGAGAGTGCCCAGGATCACAGGGCTCAGGCCCCAGGTGCCCTGTCCTGCAGAGGGCGGCTGCAGTGGGAGTGGGGCAGGGAGTCCTGGTTCTGCCCACCACATCAGCTGCCGCTGGGTTGGGACTCAGCCAGTGGCAGGCTGTCCTGAGGGCTGTGTGGACCCACTGCTCACACCCATGGAGCCCACGTCGCCACGGCTGCCAGACAAGGCCAAGGCTGGGCGGTAGGCGGGCATGTGGGCAACTGCCTGGGGGATTCTGCTGGCGTCCTGGGCACAGGTGGCCTGTGATGCTAGGATTTGGGGGCCCCGATACCCCCCAGTATCTCCCAGCAGGTGAGGGCTGTCCTGCTGCCCGGGAGCCAGGACCTGTCCAAGGGGACAGACACACAGGAAGGCGCACCGTGTCCTCGCCGCGTCACGCTGGGACACCACAGCCCGAACCCATGGCCACACAACTCCGACTGTGAGGCCGGGTCCTCCCCCTGGAGCAGGGTCCCTCTGCCATGATGCTGCGTTTTGCTTCGCATACTGCCAGGGACAGGCAGCTCGCCGCCTCCGAAACAGGCCGGTCTCCTGCCGCGCGGCTCTGACAGAGGGCGCTGCCGCCGGGCATCCTGGCTTATCTGTAGTCGCGGGAGAGACGCGACTACACCTTGAAGGCTGGCATCCCCGTGCCGGACGCATCTTCTCAAGCGGGAGGCTGGGACATGCCCTCGGTGCCGGCTGAGCCGGGCATCCCGCTGAGACGCAGTCTCCTGCCTGGGAACGGGACACGGGGCTGGCAGGAGGGAGGAGGGCCCTGGGGCGGTTCAGCTGGGCTGTCACATCCTTCCGGACCACGCACAGAGGGGGAGCCGCTGCCTGGGCCACCTGGACGAAAGAGCCGGGCAGAGCCGGGCAGGCCTGGCCGGTTCCAGTTGGGGCCCAGCCTCTGCTGCTGTCCTGGGACCCTCTTCATGGGACAGCCTGGGGCGGGGGGGAGCCTGAGGCTGCCCCCTGCTGAGGAGGGTGGACACTGCCTGTCCTGGGGGGCCCTGGGCCAAGCCCCACCCTTACAGCCTCAGTTTCCCTCTGTTCATTGTGGCGCGGAGTGCCCACCTGCTGTGCCCCCCGCCCCAGGAGGTGGGATTGGAGCAGACTGGGCGGGCGTCTCTCAACCTGTCTGGCTCTGTCCCTGGACCTAGCACCCTCCCGTGGCCCCGCCGGCCCTTCCTGCCTGGCAGCCGCAGAGGTTTCTAGAAGGCACGGCTGTCTTGACAGAGGGTACTCCCTCACCCCCCTCTCCTCTGTTCCCGCAGGGTTTGCTGCTTCTTGGCCAACCCCAACGCTCATTGTTTTTTTTTCCTTTTCTGAGAAATGGAACAGAAAATACAAGATACTGTCACACACACAAACCCTCCAAAGGAAACACATTCAACCTTTTGTGGCGCTTCCTTCCGATCTTGTTTTAAGAAATGAGACACTTGAGAGCAAGCCAGAGCCCTCCACGGCCCCTCCCCTGGCCGCTGCCCCTTCCGGTTCCCGATAGGCCTGGTCCACCCGGTCCCGGTCCCTGCACCTGCCGCACCACGTGAGGGTCGAGGCACAGCCAGCGGCTCCTGGCTCTGCGGCTGCTCTGGTTTCTGACCACATTTGTGTGACCTGTGGCGACCCCTGCTCTTTATTTAGGCCTGCCTCTCTGGGTGCCCACAGGCCCGGCTGGTCCTGGGTCCAGAATCACAGGCAGGGCAAGGTCTTAGCATGATCCTCGAGGGCGCGTTATCCCGGGTCGCTGCCCAGGGGCCTAGTGGCTGGTGGAGGAGGACCGGAGGGAAGCCAGTGGGACAAATGGAATGAAGGGAGGAAGGGAGGGAGGAAGGGAGAGTGGGCATAAGGCTGGGGGCCCATGCAGCCGCGCCCCCCTCACCACCTTCTCTCCCGGCCCTACCCGCAGCCAAGTACCCGGCCATCAAGGCCCTGATGCGGCCGGACCCTCACCTCAAGTGGACGGTGCTGGGGCTGGTGCTGGCGCAGCTGCTGGCCTGCTGGCTGGTGCGGGGGCTGGCGTGGCGCTGGCTGCTCTTCTGGGCCTACGCCTTCGGCGGCTGCGTGAACCACTCGCTGACGCTGGCCATCCACGACATCTCGCACAACGCGGCCTTCGGCACGGGCCGTGCCGCCCACAACCGCTGGTTCGCCATCTTCGCCAACCTGCCCGTGGGCGTGCCCTACGCCGCCTCCTTCAAGAAGTACCACGTGGACCACCACCGCTACCTGGGCGGCGACGGGCTGGACGTGGACGTGCCCACGCGCCTGGAGGGCTGGCTTTTCTGCACGCCGGCCCGGAAGCTGCTCTGGCTGGTCCTGCAGCCGCTCCTCTACTCCCTGCGGCCGCTCTGCGTGAACCCCAAGGCCCTGACGCGCATGGAGGTGTTCAACGCCCTGGTGCAGCTGGCGGCCGACGCGGCCATCTTCGCCCTCGGGGGGCTCAAGCCCATGGCCTACCTGCTGGCCAGCACCCTGCTGGGCCTGGGCCTGCACCCCATCTCCGGCCACTTCGTGGCTGAGCACTACATGTTCCTCAAGGGCCACGAGACCTACTCCTACTACGGGCCCCTCAACTGGATCACCTTCAACGTGGGCTACCACGTGGAGCACCACGACTTCCCCAGCATTCCCGGCTGCAACCTGCCCCTGGTAGGTGGCCACGCGGGCGGGGCCCGGCGGTGGGGGGCACGGGGTCCGAGGAGGCGTGGCGTGTGGCGGAGTGGACCTGGGGCCTGGCTCTGACCTCCTTTTGCTTTCATGCTGGTCACGGAGTGGCCACAGGGCGAAGGGAGAGGCCGCCCCGGGGCGGGGTGTGGGCCTGGAGAGTGACAAGGGGAGTCCAGACAGGGCAGGGCTGGAGGTGTTTTTTTTTTTAAAAAAAATATATATATTTCTTTATCGATTTCCGAGAGAAACATCAATGATGAGAGAGAATTATTGATTGGCTGCTCCTGCACGCCCCCTATTGGGAACTGAGCCCGCAAGCCAGGCATGTGCCCTTGGCTGGAATCGGACCCGGGATCCTTCAGTCCGCAGGCTGATGCTCTGTCCACTGAGCCAAACCAGCTAGAGTGTCAAGGCGCTTTTCCAGTGGAGACTGCTCAGTGTAATGCAGACCTGACTGAGCCCGGCTAGGGCCTGTGCTGGCTGTGCATCCTTGGGCAAACTGCTTTCTAGGGCCCCACACGGCAGAGAGGACAGGGGGGGCTTGGTGACCCTGGGGGTGAGTGGGTGCATGGTAGTGTCGGGGCCGGTGGCTCTGCCATGGGAGGCCTGGGGATGGAGAATTGCTGAAGGAGGAGGGAGGGCAGGGCGGGGAGGAGGCCATTAGTCTGGTGTGGGTGGGACAGAAAGAGCAGAGGTGCCCCACGGGGCAGGAGAGGGGGCAGTGGGGTTTTCTGGGTGTGCACATGCCTTTGGGGGTTTGCATGTGTGCCTATGAGTGTGCCCGGTATGTACATGTATGTGTGCGTATGGTTGTGTGTGAGCATGTGTGGGTGTGCAGGTGTTTGCACCCTGGCCCGTGTGACAGTCTGACAGCCTGCGTGTGCAGCCCTCCCCCTCCCGTCCTGCTGAAGGCACTGAGGAGCCACCTCTCTGAAGCCTCACCATAAGCTGATTTGGCAGGTGCCCGCCTTGCCCATTATCCCCATTTCACAGATGAGAAGGTAAAGGTGAAGTAGCAGAGTCTTTACTTCCAGGCAAAGTGAGTGGCCCCCTGCTGGCGCCCTTTGCCTCATCTCCCTGAGCCTGTCTGCAGCTCTAACGCAGGCCCTGAGCATGGCGTGCCCGTGCCCTCCAGGTGGGAGCACGTCCTGGAGGAGGCAGCAGAGGGGGGCGTGTGCAGGCAAGGGCGAGGAGCCGAAGGGGGTTGTGGGAGCCGGGGCCAGAGGGTCGGCAGGCTGGGGGGCACTGGACTGGCAAGGAGCATGAATGACCAGGCCAGGCTGTGCCTCGTAGCTGGGCAGGTGCTTGAGGAGAGAGCCCGGCCGCCCTGGCTCCTGGGTCAGAAGCTCCAGCTGGCTCTGGGGACAGGTGCATTTGAACCTGGGCAGGGGGCAGAGGCTAAGGGCCAGCACCAGCCAGCCTCCTGCTGGGCTGAGCTGGACACAGGCACCCTGGGGGTGACAGGGTGTGTGTCATTGTGTGCATGCTCACGTGTCTGTGTACACACGTCTGTGTGTGTTCATGCTCACGTGCACATGTGTGGCAGAGGCCTGTCTGTGCCGAGGCCTGGCCTCTGACCCCCGCCTCCCCGCAGGTGCGGAAGATCGCGCCCGAGTACTACGACCACCTGCCGCAGCACCACTCGTGGGTGAAGGTGCTCTGGGACTTTGTGTTCGAGGACTCCCTGGGGCCCTACGCCAGGGTGAAGCGGGTGTGCAGGCTGGCGGGGGACGGCCTGTGAGCTGGGCCCGGAGCTGGCAGTCCCTGCCCTCAGCCTGGTGCTCAGACCTCCTTGTGGACCCCCAGCCGCTGCTTGTCCCCAGGTTCCGGTGCCGCCGGGACAGCGGACACAGGCTCTGCACGCGGACGCGCTGCTGCTCAGGCCAGGCCGCCCTTCCTGGCCTCCCACGCCCTGTGCGCAGCCTCCGCGGGGCTGTCTGGTGCCCTACCCTCAATCAAACCAGTGTTTCTTTCCACACCAACGCCATGCTTCTGAGGGGTCTCAGCCCCGGCCCTGCTGGTCAGAATGCACACGCACTCCCTCTGATGTTCCAGGCCAGGCCACTGCCCACTCCTCTGTGGGGGTGGCTCCCGTGGCCCCCAGGCCCCACAGGAAGTGCCTGAACCGCCTGCTCACCCTCCCATCTGTCCCACGTCTGAATTCAGCCCAGCTACCCGCCAAGGCCACATCTTAACCTACTACCCCGATCACCACTGCCGGGAGCCCCGGCCAGCAGCGACCAGGAGGCGGCGAGCGAGTGAGCGGAAGCCGGTGTGGACAGTAAGCGTTTATTACCACGTGGACACAGACACCGAGGGGCGCGGACAGACTTCACACGGTGACGCTGGGAGGAGCTGCTGGCACAGCGCGCCAGGCCCTGTGCGAGGGCACCGGGAGGAACTCGGAACCACCTAATGAAGCGTGTGGTTTGGGGGTGTCTTTTCTATAAACCGAAAGAAATGTACACTTAAATAGACAAATATAAAATACAAAAAAAGGCGAGTAGACCTGGTGTTGTGTGTCAGGTAGAATCTAAAAAAATCCAGGAATTGACCGTTCCCCTCATTTAGGAATTGACCGTTCCCCTCATTTAGGTATTCCCTCACAGGTTAAGACTTAAGTGACACGCATCCCAGCTCCCGTGCGCTCGCGTGGCTGCAGACTGGGCTGCGCTCCCCCGTCCGTCCGTCCGGGTCGTGGCTCGGGCCGCACATCTACGAGGTGCTGATCCCGCTCAGCTCCTGCCGGATGGCTGAGGACGGGAGGAGAGGAGAGGGGGCTCAGGTGGGGCGGGAACCAGCCCTCCCTCCTCCGCTGGGCCCGCCCGCCCCCACTGAGGGGGCTCCCGTGCCTCTGGTCTCCTGAGGCTTTGACGAGGTCTGTGGGGTTCCCATGCCCCCAGCCGGCAGTCTTGCGTGGGGGCAGTGGCTGCAGGAAGCCTTGGGGCGGGCAGGCACCAGGAGGGCAGGGGTTCTCTCCCGCAGGATTCCCCCACATCCAGGCTTTTCCTTGGAGCCAAAGGCCACCAGAGAGTCTGATGAGAGCGGGGCCTATCAGGTAAAAGGCCCGCACTCCCTGGGCTCGCCCACCGCTGAGGCCCACTGCCCCACTGCCCGCCCTCCCACACAGGCTGCTGCCCGCCCCAGGCAGCCCCTCCTGGGGGTTGCCCAGCTATAAAGCCGAGTTAATGGTTGACCTGTCTCCGTTCTGGTTCCAGCTCCGTCTCACCCTCTCTATTCATTAACTCCTTATCTGTCCAGCTCAGGCCTGTGGGGACCCGATAAACAGGAACCCAGTGTTCTCCGCTGGGACCAGAACAGGGTGTGGCTCCCTCCCCCAGGTAGGCTCTCACCCTTACCTCCTCTCTCTCTGGAGTCCAGGCAGCCCTCTGCCCCCCAGCTGTGACTTCATCCCCCGCTGGTGGGGAGCGGGTGGGGACTGAGGCGCCTCCCTGCTGTCCTGGGGCCCCCGCCAAGAGCCCAGTCCTCCCCTCTGGCTCCAGATCTGAGCTGCTGCATCAAAGGCTCCGTAGGGCCCCGGGTGGGTGTGACTCCGGTGGCCAGGCGCTGCCCTCTGGTGAGCGCCACCACCTGCACCGCTGGCCCAGGCCAGGCAGCTGGGAGGTGGTCAGGGTCACATAACAGCTCTGCTTCCTGGGGGGTGTGTGTACTCAGCAAGTCCCTTCACTCTCTGAGCCTGTTTGCTTGACTAGAGGATGGGGAGGGCCTGTGGGCTGTTCGGGGGAGAATGAAACCTCCCAGTACAAAGCCAGCGGCCTCGGGGCCCGGGATGCCTCCAGGCTGGGCTGCCCTGGCTCCACGCTGTGTGGTTCTGGCGGCAGCAGCTCTGCCCTCTCCAGGACCAGGGAGAGCCCGACTCACCGTCGATGATCTCCTCCTTCACTTTGTGCAGCTCTCGGATCACCTCCTCCAGGATCTCCTGTGGGAGCAGAGCCTCAGAGGCAGGGACGGGAAGCCGGCCTTGCAGGGTGGGTGTAGGAAGGGGTGGGGGTGTCCTGGGCCTCCCTCCGGGGCACGGCCCCTACATCACTCTCGCCCACACCCTGGAGCTGGGGGAGGAGGTGTGCCCGGGGATGGGACACCCTGGCCGGCCCTGCCTGGCCTCCAGCACCTCAGGCCCCTCAGGAGTGCCTGGACGGCGGGGAGGTTTATTTCTGATATGGGGGGCAGGATGGGCCTGGGGACAAATGCTACAACCCCCTCCACTGCTGGTCCCTGACTGACTGGAGGTCCCAGCCCCGGGCTCCTCACAGCCTCAGGAAAGGACACGCTCACCTGCTTCATCCGGTCCAAATCGAAGGCATCCAGGGCCACGTCGTTCACACTTCCGGCCGGCTTCATCCTGGGGGGAGGACGGCGGGTGCAGTGAGGCAGGCGGCGGACCTGGCAGGCACGCACCGTGCAGGGCACAGAGCCTGTGCGGCACCTGGGCGCCCAGGGCCTCCTGCTTGGGGCGGGCCCTGCGGGATGAGACTGCCCCTTCCCGTGGCCCCTCAACCCTCTTCGCTTGTCTGTGGCCGCTCCCCAGCTCCCCAGGTTCTGCCGCCGCCTCCACGACCTCAGGATGCTGTGACCGTGTCTCCCAGCCCAAGAGCCAGCGCTCAGGGTCCAACCTCGAAGCTGCTCCCTGACCCGAGAGCTCCCAGGCGGCAGTGCCCGCGTGCGGCCTCCCCGGGAAAGAAAGCACCGACAGCCAGTCCTCGCTGCAGCTCTATGTTCCCGGCCAAACGGGAAACCAGCAACGGCGGGTCTGAGTACAACACGAATCGCAACACCCGTGCAGCAAACCCGCCCCTCACAGACCCGACCGCAGGACGTGTCCTTGGACGTGGCTTTGCTCTTCGGAGACAAAGGTTTCCGTTTCCTGGGCTGCATCTTTGAGAAGTTTCTGAACTAAAGCTGCTGGTCTGAAACGTAACGTCTCTTCCACATCAATCTCTCCTGAAAATCTTAGCAAAGCGCCCGATTTCTCTCCACGTGGACAGAGAGGTGGACGGGGCCTGCGGGTTCAGGGCAAGGACGTGGCGGGACAGCTACAAGGCCCATGGGACAGACACACCGTGACCGTTCGATGAGAGCGTGCGGAGAAACTGCGGACCGGTGTCCACGGCCAGGGAGGAAGCATGACAGGTTTGGTGCTGTCGCAGCCTCGCTGGGAAACGGCAAGGAGGCTCCACAAACAGGAAGACAGAGCCGCAGGCCCACGTCTGGGTTTTACCGGAGGAGATGCAATCGCTGGAGGAGGGAATCTTGACGAGGTTCCTGCACCTCCATGTTCGCTGCAGCATTAGCCACAGCAGTCAGGACACGGAAGCCACCCGTGTCCATGGGCAAACGGTGGGTAAGAAGGCGTGGAACATACATATGTGGAATTATTCAGGCGTGAGACGGAAGGAAGCCATGATTTGTGGCACCATGGATGGACTAGAGGGCATGAGGCTGCGTGGACTAAGCCAGGCAGAGAAAGACAGACAGGGTATGACCTTACTTGTATGTAGAATCTAAAAACCCAGACTTATCAAAACAAAGACTATGTCAGTGGTTGGCAGGGGCAGGGGCGGTGAGGGGGTTGGGGGGAGGTGGTCCAGGGCACGCACTTCCGGTTAGCAGATGGATCTGCTCTGGGGATGGTGACTGAGTGGCAACACTGTACTGTGTGCTTCCAAGTAGCTAAGGAAGCCGATCCTGAGATTCTCACTGCACACACACAGGCGACCAGGAGGCTAACTGAGCGCCCTGTAATCACTGCACAGTGTGCGCACATGTCAAACACCACGCTGTATGCTTCCACCTGCACAATGGAGACATCACTTATTACTCAACACAGCTGGGGAAACCCACTGAGCGTCATAAGAGACTTCAGGGGCCCAGGGCACAGAACTGAATTAAAATGAATGAATAAATAAAATGCTCCCACATCCTCCCAGATGGAAGAGAAAGAGAGAGAGAGAGAGAGAGAGAGAGAGAGAGAGAGAGAGAGAGAGAGAGAGAGAGGGGAGAGAGAGAGAGAGAAAGGAGAGAGAGAGAGAGAGAGAGAGAGAGAGAGAGAGAGAGAGAGAGAGAGAGAATGAATATGCGCGCGCAGGTCAAACGTCCCGAGTGAGTCTATAAGTGACTGTGGGTTCAGCCTGAGACGCCCAGGGCCATCACGCCCATTCTGTAGGTTCAGTCCCTGTTGCAACAGAACTTTCCTGGATCATCTGGGCCAACGCCTCGCCACCCCGTGCCTCTGTTCTCTCCACACGGCACACGTACGCCCAACAGCCCAGATGGCGACACTGTCACACTCCGGGAGCGCAGGCAGGCCCCTGCCGGAGGGACGGATGGTGCTGGAGAACGGATCTCAGGGCTGGAGAGTCTCCTTCTGAGGGGCACGGGCAGCCTGCCCTTCCTCCAGCAGCAGGAAGTGACCACTGTGCCCTGGGCACCCTGCCTCCTCCTGTGCCTGCTGTTCCTGCCCCTCCATGCACCTCCCTTCACAGCCGAGTGAGCTCCCCAACAGCTGGCAGCCCAGGCCTGTGTTGAGGGCGTGCACACTGGGCCTGCACACAGGATCCAATCAATGAGACGCCTTCCTGCCCACTGCCTTCCTCTTCCCTTCTCACTCTGTAGCCACAGGGCCTCAGCAGTTTCACGCCGTCTGGAAGGCAATCCCCCATCTCAGAGCCACCCAAATGCCACTGAGGGAGGACTGCCCAGATCACTCACTTCAGCGCCTGT